TTTGGAGATCATATCCCTTACAAAATGGTACCTTACGTCAACGTGTTTGGTTCTCTCATGGTACATGGGGTTCTTTCCCAGATGAATGGCACTTTGACTGTCTGAATAGACAGTCATAGTTCCATCCAGCAGCTTAGCTTCTTTCAGGAACCCTTGAAGCCATATGGCTTCTTTGAATGCATCAGTTACAGCCACATATTCCACTTCAGTTATGGACAGTGCTACCAGTGGCTGTAATTAGGACTTCCAACTGATGCAGTTGCCTCCCAAAGTAAACTGGTATGCTGTTGTGGATTTTCGGGAGTCTCTATCACCTGCAAAATCAGAATCTATATACCCAACCAGATCAAGTGAGGAGTTTCTTTTACAGAAATTTAGACCAACATTCACAATACTTTTAATGTACCTAAGAAACCATTTTAAAGCATTCCAATGATCACATCCAAGATTCGACATAAATCTACTTAGAAGTGATATTGAATATGATAAGTCAGGTCTCATACTGATCATAGAATACATAACAGAACCAATAGCATTTGCATATGGTATGGATTCCATTTTTAATCTTTCAGGTTCTATTTTCGGGCTTTAGGCTTTACTAAGGGTGAAGTGACTAGCTAGGGGCATTGGGGCACATTTAGAGTCATTCATTCCAAACTTTAACACAAGTTTCTGCAGATAAGGCATCTGATGCAGTTTTAGATTGTAATTTTTCCTATTTCTTTCTATTAGCATTCCTAATATTTTCTTTGCACAGCCTAAACCCTTCATGTCAAATTCAGCATGCAATTTTCCTTTTAACTCCTCAATTTGGACCTTGGATTTACTAATTAATAACATATCATCAACGTATAATAACAAATATACAGGATTTGTATCCACATGTGCAAAATAAAAACAGTTATCATGCTCACTTCTAGTAAATCCTATGCCAACTATAAAAGAGTCAAACCTCTTGTACCACTGCCTAAGTGACTGTTTGAGTCCATACAGAGATTTATGCAGCAAACATACATGATCAGGAAACTGTTTATCCCTAAACTCCATGGGTTGACTCATATAAATCTGTTCTTCTAATTCCCCATGCAAAAATGCAGTTTTTACATCTAACTGCTCTAACTCTAAATCATAATGAGCTACTATAGATAACATCAATCTTATAGTTTTGAATTTAACAACAGGGGGAAAAAATTCAGTAAAGTTTATACCTGCTCCCTAGGTGTAGCCTTTGGCCACTAATCTGGCCTTATACATTGGGTGGGTCAGTTTTACTGATGCCCTCCTTCAGCTTGTACAGCCACTTGCAGTCCACCAGCTTGACATCTTTGGGTTTTGGGACCAGAATCCAGGTTTTGCTCTGCCTTAGGGAGTCCATCTCCTCATTCATGGCAGTGAGCCAATATTTTCTGTCTTTTGAGTTTATGGCATGTTCGTAAGAGTCAGGTTCTGTCCTCTAAACCTCTACACCAGTAAGCAGGGCTGTATAGATGAGATCTGCATAACTGAACCTTGCAGGTGGTCTTATTTCCCTCCTTGTTCTGTCTCTGGCCAGTTGGTATTGTGCCAGGTCTTCTTGTTAAGCATTCTCAATATTTTCCTCATTCTCCTCTTCACCATCATGTTCAGTATCAGTTGTAGTGATCACAAGTTTATATTCTGGTCCATCAGTATGGATTTCAGGCTCCTGTTGCTTTGTTGACTCCACCTCAAACTGGGTACTGTCGGTTTGTTGTGGAGTCTCCACTTGGTGACTTGAGGTACTTTCATTGGTGTTAATAACCCTACAAGGGAACACACATTCGTTAAATACAACATCTCTACTGATGATGACCTCAACCCTTAGAGTTTCTCTCTTCCACAGCCTATATCCCTTGGTCCCTTCTTGATACCCCAAAAACACACATCTTAGGGACCTTGGTTCTAATTTTCCATCTACTGTGTGTGCATAGGTTGCACAACCGAATACTCTTAGGTGGCTAAGTGAGGGTTCTCTTCCTGTCCATTTTTCTTCAAGGCATATAAAGCCAGTTGCACTATAGGGAGTCCTATTTACTAAATAGGCAACAGTGGTTGAAGCCTCCCCCCAAAAGGACTTAGATAGTCCAGCTGTGGAAAGGAGGCACCTAACCTTCTCTAACAGGGTCATGTTCATCCTCTCAGCAACTCCATTTTGCTGGAGAGTTCTCCTAACTGTCCTATGTCTCATAATACCTTAGTCTCTACAGTATGCATCAAACTCAGCATTACAAAACTCCAGACCATTGTCAATTCTGAGTGCTTTCACCTTTTTCTCCAGTTGGTTTTAGTCTTCCAACTCTTAAACTTACTTAGTGCCTCATCTTTGGACCTAAGGAGGTAAACCCACACCTTCCTACTGCAATCATCCACTATAGCTAGAAAATAACTATTCCCCCCATGTGTTTTGACTCTTTCAGGACCCCAAAGGTCAACGTGAAGGTATTCTAAACAATTCACAGACAGGTGAGTTCCTTTTGGGAAGCTCAGCCTGTGATGTTTACCCATGACACAGGTTTCACAAAATCCTAAATCTGACACATTTTCATTACCAAAATACCTCTGCTGTTTAAGGTAGCTCATACCAGTTTGGCCTATATGGCCCATCCTCAAGTGCCATTTTTCTACAATTGAAATGTTAGTAGATATAAAAGTAGAGTTAACATTCAACTGATGATATTGACCACACAATATGTATAGACCATGCCTTTTAACACCTTCAAACAGAATTTGATCATTCTTATAGACAGTGATGCAACCATTTTCAGCCCTATAGCTACAGCCAGCTTCATCCAGTGTGCCTAATGAGATCAGATTACGCTTAAGCTCTGGTATATACCTAACTCTGGTTAACATTATTAATTTGCCACTTTTAAGTCTAATGGTGGTGTTACCAATCCCTTGAACCCTACATGAGTGATTGTTTCCCATAAACACCATTTTAGTTTCAACAGTTCTAAGGTTTTGGAACCAAGTTTTGTTAGGACTCATATGAAAAGAACATCCTGCGTCTAGCACCCATTCATTAGCAATTTCAGAACTAGACACAGTAAGAGCTTCAATGATTTCAATGCTATTACTATAGGATACTAAGTTACTCTCAATACTGGTCTGTTTTTGCTTCCTAATCCAATCATAACAATTCTTTTTAATGTGTCCAGACTTGTTACAGTGGAAGCATTTTCTTGTCTCTGATTTAGGTTTGTTGTTGTAGGGTTTCTTTTTCTTCTTATTCTTTAAACCTAAATTCTGTTGGGCAGTTTTTTCATTTTCTTTGCCTAAGTGACCAGTTTCTTGTCTGCCTTTTAGAAAGAGATTATTCCCATTTCTCTTTTGTATTTTCAACTCAAGTTCTCTGGATTTTAAGCCAGCCGTTATTAGATCTACACTAGGGACTGTTCCAATGTACTGCAATGCATTTTTTACTACTAAATATTCATCAGGTAGAGAATTTAACAAAATATTGTAAGACTAGAATCACCTAATTCCTGATCAATTCCTTTTAGCACTAATGTCATTTTTAGAAATTCATCTAAATTTTCTTCTAATGACTTAGAGGCATCCATTTTGTAAGAAAACAGAGCACCTTTCAAAAATGCTAAGTTAGGAGCAGATTTCAATGTATACAAAGTTTCGAGTTTACCCCAGAGCTTGATCGGTGTGTCCAGACCATCCACTTTCCGCAGAACACTGTCTGATAAATTCATGATTATCAGATTGTATGCTTCTTCGTCTATCTCTGCCTTCTTTTTCATCTTTTCTTCAAGCCACTTGGTTCCATCTTTCTCCAACGCTATTCCCACCTTATTGTGAGATAGAAGAGCCTTCATCTTCTTCTTCCAGGTATTGAAATCCATCTTCCCATCATACTGGGATATCTCTACATGTGTAGTAGTGCTCATCATCTTTCTAGTGAGAAAACCCTAAGATTCAGTTTCTTGATCTTGACTAACTCTGTTAGATTTGACCTTCTTGTGACACGAAACCACCTCTGATGTTCAAGATGTTAACCGAAACCTCAAGATTAAGTACCCTAGAGATCAAGAAATCCCCGAAATCGAAAAACCCCCAAATTTGCCAAAACCCTAATTTTGCAATTCTGCATAATTTGAATCGATTCCAAGAATATCTAAACCCTAGAGTGTTGGCTCTGATACCATTATTGTAAACCAACCCTAATCAGATAAATCTAAACACCAGTTTAGATCAAATCAAATCAAACCACAAACAGATCAAGCAATACACAACCAATTTACCGTGGTTCGCTTGTTCTATATAGAACAAGTTACATCCATGTTGAACTCCAGAATATGGAGCTCGCTGCACTTTGATTAATCACTACAAACAATACAGATTACAATCAACTTCCCTCTCTGTCAACAACACAAACACTCATTCACCTTGATTCCCTTTATACCAGTAAATCTGCACACTCACCAGAGTACTCACAACCCTTGAAGGAATTTCCAACCCTCAATCAGGACTCTAGACAGATTACACAAAGAAGAATCAAATGGAATGACTAACCCTAACCCAGGCTACTTTCGTGTTTTTCAGAGAGAAAACAGAAGACTAAAAAACGCAACCTGACCCAAAACTAACAGCCTCTTTTATATCGTTGTCCTCTCAATGTATTGGAGCCATCGGATCATGTTTAATCGAAGGGCTGAGATCAACTGGAGTTTAATGAACAAAACGACTACGTTTTTGCTTGGCTCTAAACGACGTGGCAGACTTCATTATTTAACAGTTACATATAATTTCACTATCCATTTTAAAGTCAAAGTTTGTTAAGATTTCGTTCTCAAATTTCAAAACCATTTCAATTATAGAAACTTTTGTCAAAAGTTTTAGTTTTTATTGTATGCTGAGTTATAATGAAACTTTCACTATCCATTTTAACTTAAAGTCCGAGGTTTGTTAAGGTTTGGTTCTGAAATTTCAAAACCATTTCAATCATGTTCAGGTGTAGGTTGACATTATATTGTGTTCATAGGTTTTCTATTTTTCATTGTAAAAAACGAACAATCCGAAGTCTTGAATGTATTTTTGTGTTACAGTTCTTTGGTTTCTGCAATGGCGGTACTGGGATTTATCCCAATGACTTACTTCAAACTGATATTGTTTGCCTGCTTTGTTTGTTCTTCTCTGGTTCTCACGACCCAGGACCAACTTTGTGATCCAAATGATTTGTGGGCACTGAAAGAATTTGCCAGAAACCTCGCAGTTACATCATGGTCTAATGATTCCAATTGTTGTCAGTGGGATGGTGTTGTTTGTGATGATCATAGTAAAATATCTGTTACAAGTAGAGTGATCATGTTGAAGCTGCCGAAAAAGGGTTTGAAGGGGATGGTTCCCGGCTCTTTGACCCGTTTGGCTTACCTGAAATGGCTTGATCTTTCTTTCAATCATCTAGAAGGAATATTACCTGTTGAGTTCTCAAACTTGAAGCAGCTGGAAGTTCTTGATTTGAGCCATAACAGTCTGTCAGGACCCATTGCAGGAGTTCTTTCAAGTTTTAAAATGATTCGGTCATTAAACGTTTCTAGTAATTCATTCACTGGGGACTTGTCAGAGCTTGGGGACTTCCCTAATCTTGCTGTGTTCAACATAAGCAACAATTCATTCACTGGCAGTCTTAATTCCAAAATCTGGAGTGCCTCAAATGGTATTCTGATTCTTGATTTTTCGATTAATCATTTTGTGGGCAAGCTTGAAGGCTTAGAGAATTGCAGCTCCTCTCTGAAAGAGTTACATCTGGATTTCAATTCACTTGCAGGCGTTCTTCCGGATGCCTTGTATTCCTTTTCATCCTTGCAGCAACTCACGCTCTCTGAAAATCATTTCTATGGCCTATTAAAGGATAATTTGAGTAAGCTCACTAGCCTTCAATTCTTGATTATTTCTGGAAATCAGCTGTCAGGTCGAATTCCTAATGTGTTTGGAAACCTTACAAAGCTGGAAATCTTAATTGCATCCTCAAATTCATTTTCTGGGCAATTGCCTTCAAGTCTGGCTTTATGCTCAAAGCTCCATGTACTTGAACTTCGAAACAATTCTTTAACTGGTCAGATTGATCTTAATTTCACTGGATTACCTAGTCTTTCTACTCTTGAACTTGCCTCTAATCGTTTCGCTGGGCCCCTTCCAAATTCCCTTTCTGATTGCCGTTTATTGTAAGTTTTGTTCTTAGTTTGAAATAATTTAACGGGCCTAATCCCTGAGAGTTTCACAAAGCTAATATCCTTTTTCTTTCTCTCATTGTCAATCAATAGTTTTGTGGACTTACTTAGTGCACTTAGTTTTCTGCAGCAGTGCAAAAATCTCACCACTGTTATTCTTCCAATGAATTTCATTGGTGAGAAAATTCCGGAAAATGTGAGTGGGTTTGAGAGCTTGATGGTTTTAGCACTTGGAAATTGTGGCCTTAAAGGCCACTTTCCACTTTGTTTGTTGAGTTGCAAGAAGTTACAAGTGCTGGATTTGTCATGGAATAACCTGGATGGCAGTATCCCTCCTTGGATTGGTCAGATGGAGAATTTGTTTTACTTGGATCTCTCAAACAACTCTCTTACAGGTGAAATCCCAAGAAACTTGGCAGATCTCAAGAGCCTCGTTTCTACGAATTGCCGTTCCTCTAGTTCCTCCATCCACACTTTTTCTGTCGGCGTTCCAGTATATGTGAGGAGAGACCAGAATGTTGGTGTCCTGGCGTCAAGTTTCCCTTGTTCAATATACTTGAGTGATAATAGATTAAATGGGACAATCCCACCTGAAATTGGACGCCTGAAGCAGCTCAATGTCTTAGATTTGAGCAGGAACAACATTTCCGGAACCATCACAAGTTCCATTTCAGAGCTGGTGAACCTGGAAGTATTAGACCTCTCATTTAATCGTCTAACTGGATCGATCCCCAGTTCCTTTTCAGATTTGGCAAACTTGGAAAAATTATACCTCTCTTTCAATTATCTAAGTGGGCCGATCCCCATGTCATTGTATTCATGATACATTTCATGGTTCAAAAACTTTGTATTTGTTTAATTAGTAAGGAATTAAATAATTAGCTATTTACAATTTTATAAGAATATATTATGGGCAAACTACATTTTCTCTTCCTAGGTTTAGCAAATCTACATTTTCCCACCACAGGTTTTGTAAATTATGAACATTTATACATTCCATTTTAACTGATCTATCAGGGATTGATAATGAAAACCCATTCTCATATACTAAATGATGAACTGTTCCCAAATATTTAAATTATAATTGAAAAAACGAAGTCCAATCATGATAATTAAATCAAAGGAAGTGATTTTAGTCTCCCTCAAATTGATCATTATCCCCCGTTACTAAATACAACTATATTATATATTTTTTTTAAATTTAAGCCCATTTAATACCGAAAATAGTTTGCTTGACTAGGTTTAATTGGGATTTTATTTACATCCCTTTTCCCTCAATTTCAAAATTAATTAGGGTTTTTAATTACTCAATTTTTTCCCTAACTTCAAACTTAATTAGGGTTTTTAATTACATAATTTTTTCCCAATTTCTTAATTAGGTTTTTTTTTATCATACCACATTTTCCCAATTTCTTAATAAGGTTTTTTAGTTCATACATTACCCCATTTTCCCAATTCCAAATTTGAAACTTACTTTTTTACTCTTAAAATTTAGATTCATCCCATTATATGATTACTTCTCTATAGTTTTAGTAATATATTTTCATCAAACAAAGGATTATTTGAAATAAAATAAAAAATGTTTCAATGATTTAGAAAATTTAGGTATAGCGTTTATATAAGAATTAAATATTAAAAAAATATATAAAATGGAGAATAAGTGTATTTAAAAAATTATTATCTCATTAAGGTTAAACTTATCAAAACAAAATACATTTAAAAATCTGATACTAATCAATTTGATGAGGGCTAAAAAGCAATTCCCTTAAATTAATTAAACAAAATCAATTGGAAAACCTCAGGTTGCTCCATGTAAACTTCTTCATCTAAATTCTCATTGTGATTTTTACATCCATTTAATGTAGTTATAGATTATAATAAGTCACCATTGCCATAATAATTCTAAATGAGTTTTTTTTTTTTTTTTTTTTTTTTAAGAAACCAGAGAAAATGTCTCTTTATAGTTAACACCATCTTTCTGAATAAAATTTTAGATAACAAATCTAGTCTTGTATCATTCAATATTGTCATTTGAGTCATACTTGGTCTTAAAGACCCATTTACACCCAACTCTTTTACAACCTTCAAGCAATTCAACAAGATCTCATACTCATTGTGATTCATTGATTTCAACTCTTATTTCTAACCACTTAGTAGAATTAATAATTTCCCTGGCTTGTGAAAACGAAACTGGACATTCATCAATTCCTAAGTTAAATTCTGACACATGGATAAACCACAAATTCATTAGAAATAGCATATCTCTTTTGCGTTCAAGATCTTCTTAATGTCACTTCAGGTGGTTCACCCACTACAAAATCATAAGTGGAAACTTCATCAGGAAGTCTTTGGTCATTCATTTGTTGTTCTTGTATGTTGTTCGTGACTTTGTGTTCACAAGGTTCATTCAATACTGATTATGGCTTCAATATTTTACGTAACCTAAGCTTAAATTTTCAAGTAATAAATGCTTAAATTTTTTAGTAACAAACGGTTAAAAAGCAATCTAGTCTCTTATATTAACTAAACCCTCATCCAATTACATTGAAATAATAATTTTTTCCAAACAAACTAAACCTAACCCAAAATTAAACATCAAAAGTGACACCAAACAGGAAGATTCTTGCCTGAGAAAGCTGGCCTTTGGAGACAATTTTCTAGTTGGAACTGGAAATAGATTTGGTGGCTCTAGCCAGGGCATCTAGGTCCGAATCAAGGAGCCACACGTACAAGCCGTGCATGGCGCCGAGCTGGGCGATTCCCGAGCCCATTTGGCCGTCGCCCACCATGCCGATCGCCTTTAGCTCACCCATTTTGCAACAGTAGCAAGTGCTCCGCGAGTGGAGAAATGGTATGGAAAGAGATAGGAATCTAGGCAAGGAAGTACACCCACGCGCTGTTTATGCCTGTAGAGTGTAGATATGTCCCACGAAGGACCTAAGCTGGATTTATCCAACTATAAAATCAATAATTAACAGCTGCTAGAGATTCAACGTTCTCTGAATCTTGACTCCAGTTAATTATTTAATACTCAACCTAATCCTTTAAGAATTTTTTATTTTATTTTTATTTTCTTAATTTGAGATGCAAGTACAATGTAAACTAAATTAGTTCCGAAATCTTTTCTATAGGAAACTTTTGTCAAAATTTTAATATATTATATGCGAGTTACGTATAATGAAACTTCACTATCCATTTTAAAGTCAAAAGTTTGTTAAGATTTCGTTCTCAAATTTCAAAACCATTTCAATTATAGAAACTTTTGTCAAAAGTTTTAGTTTTTATTGTATGCTGAGTTATAATGAAACTTTCACTATCCATTTTAACTTAAAGTCCGAGGTTTGTTAAGGTTTGGTTCTGAAATTTCAAAACCATTTCAATCATGTTCAGGTGTAGGTTGACATTATATTGTGTTCATAGGTTTTCTATTTTTCATTGTAAAAAACGAACAATCCGAAGTCTTGAATGTATTTTTGTGTTACAGTTCTTTGGTTTCTGCAATGGCGGTACTGGGATTTATCCCAATGACTTACTTCAAACTGATATTGTTTGCCTGCTTTGTTTGTTCTTCTCTGGTTCTCACGACCCAGGACCAACTTTGTGATCCAAATGATTTGTGGGCACTGAAAGAATTTGCCAGAAACCTCGCAGTTACATCATGGTCTAATGATTCCAATTGTTGTCAGTGGGATGGTGTTGTTTGTGATGATCATAGTAAAATATCTGTTACAAGTAGAGTGATCATGTTGAAGCTGCCGAAAAAGGGTTTGAAGGGGATGGTTTCCCGCTCTTTGGCCCGTTTGCCTTACCTGAAATGGCTTGATCTTTCTTTCAATCATCTAGAAGGAATATTACCTGTTGAGTTCTCAAACTTGAAGCAGCTGGAAGTTCTTGATTTGAGCCATAACAGTCTGTCAGGACCCGTTGCAGGAGTTCTTTCAAGTTTTAAAATGATTCGGTCATTGAACGTTTCTAGTAATTCATTCACTGGGGACTTGTCAGAGCTTGGGGACTTCCCGAATCTTGCTGTGTTCAACATAAGCAACAATTCATTCACTGGCAGTCTTAATTCCAAAATCTGGAGGGCCTCAAATGGAATTCAGATTCTTGATTTTTCGATGAATCATTTTGGGGGCAAGCTTGAAGGCTTAGAGAATTGCAGCTCCTCTCTGAAAGAGTTACATCTGGATTCCAATTCACTTGCAGGCGTTCTTCCGGATGCCTTGTATTCCTTATCATCCTTGCAGCAACTCACGCTCTCTGAAAATCATTTCTATGGCCTACTAAAGGATAATTTGAGTAAGCTCACTAGCCTTCAATTCTTAATTATTTCTGGAAATCAGTTGTCAGGTCGAATTCCTAATGTGTTTGGAAACCTTACAAACCTGGAAATCTTAATTGCATCCTCAAATTCATTTGCTGGGCAACTACCTTCAAGTCTGGCTCTATGCTCAAAGCTCCATGTACTTGACCTTCGAAACAATTCATTAACTGGTCAGATTGATCTTAATTTCACTGGATTACCTAGTCTTTCTACTCTTGAACTTGCCTCTAATAATTTCTCTGGGCCCCTTCCAAATTCCCTATCTGATTGCCGTGAATTGAAAGTTTTGAGCTTAGCCACAAATAATTTAACTGGCCAAATCCCTGAGAGTTTCACAAAGCTAACGTCCCTTTTCTTTTTCTCATTGTCAAACAATAGTCTTGTGGACTTACCTAGGGCACTTGGTGTGCTGCAGCAGTGCAAAAATCTCACCATTGTTATACTTACAAAGAATTTCATTGATGAGAAAATTCCGGAAAATGTTAGTGGGTTTGAAAACTTGATGGTTTTGGCACTTGGAAATTGTGGCCTTAAAGGCCACATCCCACTTTGGTTGTTGAGTTGCAAGAAGTTACAAGTGCTGGATTTGTCATGGAATCAGCTGGATGGCAGTATCCCTCCTTGGATTGGTCAGATGGAGAATTTGTGTTACTTGGAACTCTCAAACAATTCTCTTACAGGTGAAATCCCAAGAAGCTTGGCAGATCTCAAGAGCCTCATTAATACGAATTGCCGTTCCTCCATCCTCACTGCTTCTGTCGGCATTCCATTATACGAGAAGAGAGACCAGAGTGCTAATGCTATCCTGTTGTCGAGTTTCCCTTGTTCAATATACTTGAGTGATAATAGATTAAATGGGACAATCCCACCTGAAATTGGACGTCTGAAGCAGCTCAATGTCTTAGATTTGAGCAGGAACAGCATTTCCGGAACCATCCCCAGTTCCATTTCAGAGCTGGTGAACCTGGAAGTGTTAGACCTCTCATACAATCATCTAACTGGATCGATCCCCAGTTCCTTTTCAGAGTTGGCAAACTTGGAAACATTATACCTCTCTTTCAATTATCTAAGTGGTCCGATCCCCACGTCATTGTATACATGATACATTTCATGGTTCAAAAACTTTGTATTTGTTTAATTAGTAAGGAATTAAATAATTAGCTATTTACAATTTTATAAAAATATATTATGGGCTAATTACATTTTCTCTCCCTAGGTTTAGCAAATCTACATTTTCCCACCACAGGTTTCGTAAATTATGAACATTCATACATTCCTTATCAACTGATCTATCAAGGATGGATAATGAAAACACATTCTCATACACTAAATGATGAATTGCTCCCAAATATTTAAATTATAATTGAACAAACGAAGTCCAATGGTGATAATTAAATCAAAGGAAGTGATTTTAGTCTCCCTCAAATTGATCATTATCCCTCATTATTAAATACAACTATATTATATTTTAAAAATTCTTTAAACACCATTTAATACCTAAAATAGTCTTGCTTAATTAGGATTAATTAGGGTTTTATTT